AAACTTGGAAACAAAGTCCAGAGGATTGATTTAACTTTAACTTTTTGGAATTTCTGTTACATTAAATTTTAAAGACTAAGTGGAGTTTCGATATAAAGTATTTGTATAATTAGAGCTAAAAACAATCAGATAAAATAAGTCTCTTACCATTGCTGCTGATGTTGTGGAACCTCCTTTAGTTTACAGAGAGAAACAGGATCAGACCTGAAAAATGACCGAATAACAAAGCAGGGAAGAATTTATCAGCGTTATAGGGAAGTTATTCCCATTAACAGGTTATAAACTCGCTCTGTTTGCCTGTACATCCCTCAGCATCCTTTCTATAGACACAAGGCTGAGCTGTCAGGGAGCAACACGGGAAGGACTCATCCTCACAGCTCAATGGAAACAGCTCATTGAACAGAAAGCAGCGGAGCGGAAATACATCAAAGGACAAACTGCGCAGTTTTTATCCAATCAAACACTTACCGGCTCGCTTTGAAGGCCAATAATGTCTTCAATCACTCTGCAATATGATTTGTCATGTCAGGGGTTCTTACAACTACAATTTCTCCTCTTCCGGCTCCAAATGATTACGTCACATGCGACGTTTAATCCAAGAATGGAGCGGTGCTGCCCTCTGGTGGAGGGAACTATAGCTGACTGAGTTAGACACTGACATTTGGTCTAAGGTTAGAAAATAGAAAGTAATTCACTGGGAAATGTTAATGTTGTAATTCTTTATTAAATGGATCATGCTGTAGTTTTCGGAGAGTTTGGTTTATTTCTCATTTGAAAAATTAATGAGCTGAAATATATTGCCGGTTATATTGATAAAAAAAAGCAACTGAAACATTTTTAAAGTCTAATTCACAGAAACAGCATAAAGTCTACGGCTTCATTCATTCACCATCTGCAGAAAATACTGCAGCATTAACAGACATGGACCGGTATGGAAGCCCGTTTCCGCCACTCAGTAATAATAATAAAAAAAATCTCATAATTGGGATACTATCTATTTATATTGAGTTACTATCTCATTATAATGAGAAGCAAACTGAATATAATGAGATAGTATCTTCCATAGACTGGTAATTCAGTCCTGAGGTGAAATCTTTTAATTATCTGTAACATGTAATCACCATAACAATGTCATCAATCCATGTATAATTTAATCTACATCATTAATTTATCACTTTTGGCTCATCTGTATCATTCTGATCCGTTAACACATTAATGTTATTGTGATATTACATGATTTATAGAGTTTATTGACTTCATAATGACTATGCAATGTGATCAGCCTATTTTTTTATTCTAAATTAATCTACTGATGCTATTAAACAGCCAGTCTGTGTCAAAGTGATGAATTTATCTTTATTTTAAAAGTCCCTGAAAATGAGAACATCATTGTTTGATGCTGCAGAGCACAGATTGTTTACATTGAGACCGGAGTATATAAATATAATATTTATGGTTATTTAGCATATTTTAAGAGAAAAATAAGAGTAATTTTTCATTCATTAATTTCTAAAAATCTTGCGTTGTTAAATATTTAGTTTTTTCTATATATTTAGCTCTAAACTTAATGTTTAGTTTGTTAAAAAAATATTTAGTTTAGAGCTAAATATCTATTTAGCAAAATAAACATTCAGCTCCAAACTAACTATTTAACAAAGAAAGATTTTTATAAATGAATTAATGATAAAATCATTTATTTTTCTCTAAAAACACACAAAATAATCCAATATTTCTCCTAATTTTTGACGGCTTATCTTTACAAACGGCGCTCCATAGAACAGGTGATCTGGTTGATTCGTCTCTAAAGTCACATGACGTGTGAATTGGTGGTATAGAAATGAACTGAATAGAATTCAGCTCACTCCTTGTAATTTTCTCAAAATAAACTTTGCGTTTTTTCCTGCTATTTCATAGCATATTAGCTTTATTTTCTCGTTGCTTCTGCCTTTTTTCAGCTTACAGTTTATCGTACAGCATTCACACTTTCTCTAGTTCTATACCGGCTCACCTGCAAACAGCCAAATTAATACGACGTTTTTATTGAGGGCTTTGATTTATTCACATATGAAGTTCTTACCAGTCACTCATCTGCATTGAAAAACATTTTGATGTAAAGTAAATAAAATCCATGCAAAAAAAAAAAAAAGGAAAACGTAAAAAATGAATTTAAATGAGTAAAAAATGCGTCATTAAATGTTTGTGAAAAACATATTTAGCAACGTAAGAAGAACAGAAGTAGTTTCAATAAGATGTACTGATGCGGTCAGCAAAGGATGAAATGATGAAATGAAACAGGATATTGTTGCCTGTTAAAATAAAACTTTACCGTTTTAAAGACCCTCCTGGTGCCAGGAAACATGAACCTGAACAGTAACTCATTAAACAGACTAAAAACAATTCATCTCCAACATGTTGATTACGCTAAATGAGTTGAAACGTCAGTAATGAACATCTAACAGCCGCAGAAATATCAGCTGTGATCACCTTAGTCACACCTTCCCTACGACAACAGACAGACTTGTGTAAAAATGGGCGCCTTTCATCTGATTCGCTCTAGAATTACGTTAAATCTTGACAGAGTTCAGGTTGATGATAATAAATTGGTGGAAACTTGATTTCTATATCTGGTAACAGTTTCTTTGTATTAAGAAAAGAACTGAAACAATCGATGATCGTTAGTTTATTGTTGAAACCAAACAGCCAGGAAATGATTTAGTGAAGAGCGCTAACGCTAAACTAGCAGGACTGGGACGTGGCGTCCAGGAGACGTTTTCAGCTGAAACACCGGCTGCCTCAGTCGGTCGGGGGGGGTTCCTGGGGTTCCCTGTTAACTGGAACATAAAACAAAGTTTGGTTGAATGAATATTCTCCAGAGATGAAGCATTAATCCGGTTCTGTGAGAATAAAATCCTTTCTAATACCTTCCTCTCTTGCTTTCATCCGGGCAACAAAGTTGTAGCTCTTATTCCTTCTGTAGTTCTCGTACGGGTCGTCTAAAGAAACTCCCACACCTTTGTACTGGTCCCATTTATCCCTGATGTCTCCTCCTTTGATGGGGTCCTGTATACCCTGCTCTTTGGCCCCCAGCCCCCCAGAACCGCTCCAACCTAAAGTCAATATGACATTCAAACAAACAGAAGAAAATCTGTTACAACATTAACACAGGAAAGTACAACGGAGCATTAGGGCCAGGCTGGGGGGGGTTTTGTGGTTTTATTTCGAGAATAAAGTCGTAAAATTCTGAGAATAAAGTTGCAACATAAACAGTCATAAAATTATGAGAATAAATCGTAACATAACAAGAATAAAGTCCTAAAATTCAGAGAAACAAGTTGTATTTTATACCAATTCTTCCAAGAAGCCCTTTCTTCCCTAAAGTGAGGAATGTGGAGCATCATGGGAAGTTCTA